TCCGCCCCGCCTCCGCCCCCTTTCTTTTCACTGAACTCCTTCCCTCGCACTCCATCCCATCAATGGCACCCCATCGGAGGACTACATTAGATCTAAAGCGGAGCGCTCACTTGTGATTTATCTCGAAATTATCCGTTGCCTCTCCATACTCTACTTTCGGACTCTGGCCTTCATAAAGGGAGAAAATTTAATTTCTTCCTTTAACGGATGCACATATACTCATTTTTATGAAAATAGTAGCACTCAGAAGGTATCATCAGAAATGAAACTATCTCGGTGGGTAAGTTCCACATCATCCAACATGTCAGTGATTCCATTTTTTAACCCTCAACCGCGCACATGTCCAGAGGCGAAGGGCGTGGCTGTTGGCTTGCCGGGTTCCCTATTGTACGCCTTTTGTATTGCAACGCCAGTTATCATGTCGATAACATCACTACAAAGCACAATATGCCTCGGAATGAGTTAAAGAGAACTTTGAGCTGTTAAATATGTTTGAAGGGGTTCTCATTTGCTGTGGGATGCGGGATGCTTTCAACGCATGGCACACCAGCACGGTCTCACGCAGATTGCGGTCGTACAGAACCTCTGGCCCATAGGACTGGCGTATTGTTCAAGATTCTGCGATAGCCCGAAATGCCAGAAGTGCTGTTACTCAGAGCACAGTAACGTCTACAGACTGGCATCCTGCGAGTGATATTGAAACCGTTGAAAGAAGCTGCGCGTTTGGTTGCAACTCGTCCGCTTTGACTGCCGTTAACAACGCAACGAGCGCCGCCATGGACTCCAGTGGTTTCGTGAAGAACGGAGGTGAAACAAACAGAATAGCAGCGGGTTATTTATAGGGACGAGTCCACATTTTGCTTCAGTAACAACGATCAGAGAGCACACGCATGGCGACAGTGGAAGAAATGTGCAGTGTGCCTATTTAAACGGTTTGTTTATCAAACTCTGACAGCATAATATCTGGACGTTGAAATGATATTTCGTGTGACACCCTAGCGCCTTTCGTCGTCATCTAGAGCACTCTGACAGCCCAGGGCTTTCCGTTCCCGCAGGCCCAGGGTTACACGGGTCCACGCGTCTATCTGGACGCAGAAAGTAAAGCTGTGTGGATATCGCAGGACAAGTAGAGACCTCTACAACTCCATGATGGAACATGTTGAAGACAGGGTTCGCAAACATGGCGACATGTGTAAAGACATTGTATTTGTCTGTAACGCAATAAACATGTTTAAGTCAAATGTCAAATTGGAATAATTTCGTGTTCTTGATGACCCTTACCTGCTAGCCGAATATTACTGCTTTCCGCTTCGTCTTTCCGAGTGCTACTGTTTTAATGACGATGATTTTATTAAAGATTCAAAGACACTTCACATACCTTTTATAAATTGAATAATATTTCATTATACTAAGCATTATGATACAAACGCAATATCATAAAAAAACGTATTACGCCACATGAGTCTGGTGGATAACAGCCGTAGTAGGCTAATCAAATGTGAGTTTAATTAGTATGCCTCACAGATATGTTCCAAGCGCAGATACACACTTAAAAAAAATTAAAAACATTAAAAACTGTATTAAATTATATTCAACTGAATTGAAAATTAATTTATGGAGAATGGTTTGTAAATAAATTGGAAGTACGCGGTTCACATTGGTCGTAGGCAATAGTGGCGCAACTCGAAAAATACGAATTTATAAGTGAATGCACTCCAAAAATGCAGATTGGTCTACCTTCCAGCAGCATATCTTCCACCAACAAATAGTAGAAGTGTGAATGCACGAATGATGCATTTCAAAGCAAGGTAAAAACTTCAAACTCTTATCTCAAGGCCTGATTTTTTGAGTTATGCCACAATTGCAGCCCACGAACGTTATGACCCGATAAAACCGGTCACTTGGGAGAGGAACGGATGCATTTAATAGCTTAGCTACTGGGGCAGAGGGAGGGGTGCGGCCGATGGGGGCGATAGCGGCAAGCGAGACTGTGAAACGCGAGACCCGGGAGGGGGCGTTACGTCGAGCCCTCGCTGCGCGAAGCACGTTGTCCCAGAGCACGTTGCACGTTAATTGAGGTCGATTGGATGACCCGTTCTCTGAGTACACAACGACCGAGATTGACACTGGAAGCATTATATTAACTGGAAATCTGAAAAAATACAATGGCTGCAGACCGCTGTAACCTATAATTGTCCATCACCTTACGTGAAAAATTCATTTTAAATGCTATCTGTGAAACACATAGTATGATGGATGTTTTAAAGAAAGTATTTTGATATGATTTTATACAATTATCCCTATTCGCGCTATATACTGTTTGCAAGATAAGAATCAACTCTACAAAAATATTGGTTGCACAAAAAAAAAATTCTTGAAGGGATTCATTACTTCCATCGCCGTGACTCGTAGTCGATCCCTCTAGGGAAATTCATGTGCAAATGGTAGTGGACAAAGCGAGGTTTTAACAGAATTCTCGGGGTTCATCTGTTCTTCCCTACGTCTCATTCGACCTTCCAAGAATTATCATACTCTATCTACTCATATCATCACTCGTATCCCTCAAATTCCTCAGCTCAGTTCCTAAACCTCAAGAGGTTGTTTATGAATGATTGAAAGTTCTAAATCTTTGAATTCTACAGCTATCAACAAGCACCATACAACTTGCACACTGTCGTCGTTCGACTTCTCTGAACGCCAAACGTCTAACCACTTACGACTGAAGTCAAATCAGTTTCTGTCTGGTATGGAGTCAAATGAGACTTCACGATTTATTCCACGAATCTCCTTGGAATGAATTGCTAATGATATCCGTTCCGTGTGGCAAGAGGCTCTGTGGCGAGGCAAAAGGGGTGAGAGGGCACACGGGAGGCACACCTGTTTGCCTCACCACCCACCCACCCACCCACCAAATCACCCCACGCCAGCCAGAGAAAAAACACTTTGTCTCTCGATCACTTAAAACTAGTATGCAACCTTTTGTAATGTCTTGAATGTGGCAAGTATTACTTCAAGGCACTTGTCAAAATAAACCTTCTTGTTTGTCGGACAAATGAAAATATTAATTTAATAAATATATTTTTATTTATAACAACGTGTCTTTGAAACGCGTCACGGGAATAATGCGCTCTGCTCCCTGGCCACTGATCGGGGGCGAGGGCGGGTCGAGCGGAGCGGGCCGTGCGGGGTGGCGGGTGGTTTGGGCAATCGATTGGTCGCCGTACCAGGGCGCCACTGTCGCGCCCTCCCCCCCCTTCGCCATCGGG